TCGTAGAATCTTAAGTCGTAGAAAATTAACCAATCACAGTAGAATATGAGAAGAATAATCGACTGTGATTGGTCAATTTTCTACGCTTAAGACCCTACGACTGCTACGACTTCTATTGTAGACCCCGCATAAGGCTGGAATCAGACTACGCATTGAAGAATGAGATTGAAGATCGAAAGATTGAGGTTTGACCAATCAGAACAAGAGGAGCCAGAATTTCTTTGTTCTCATTGGTGAAATTTCAATTTTTTATCTTCAATCTCAATCTTCAATGCATAGTCTGATTCCGGCCTAAGTACAGTTCAGAACACGAAAGTGTATACATCACACATGTGACCAATTGACAAATCATAATTCGCATACAAAATAAAAAATCTTATTATTATAAATCAAGAATCTGTCATTTTTATACATATAATTGTAATAATGATCTATAATATTCCCTGTGGTTTTAAAAAACTTTATTAATTAGCAGTAAACAAAATATGATATTTGACAATGCTTGATTATTATAACTAATAACTTATACATTAGTATAAAAATGAAACATTATATACAAAAATAATTCTAATAAGTGTATTTAGTACTTCAAAATTATATATCATTTGAAAGCAGTAGATGTAACATCACGATGTAATATTGTTATTTTTTTTTATTTCTTTTGGAAGATTTTTAATATTTCTTTTATATTTCTCTCTCTCTCTCTTTATATGTATAAGTATTTTGTAACGAAAAAGATTCACTCAAAATTAATTCAATAAAATTAATCTCTTGTAAAATACTGATAACAAAATAATATGTATATATAGATAATATATATAAATCAACAATAAATAGAGTAATAACAAATATTAACATGGTTTATTAATATTATTACTAGATTTTATGTTCTCTTGAATTGAGAGCTAAATTTGATAAATTTCTCTTGCACCTATAATAATTGTTTACATAATCACATAAATATAACTGATATAGGTGCAAAGAAAATTAAAGTTTCTGATTTGACATTTTCATCATTTTGTAGTTATTTTGTCATTTTAAGAGGAAGAATGTCAAGCAATTATAATTATTACACAAAAAATAATAACTATGGCTGACATAAATTAGGCAAAATATGATGCAAATTACTGTGAATCTGCAATAAATTTGTTGACTAAACCTTGACTGTAATATTCTGCTTCATGATTTTTGACTTGTGTAAACAATCGACTTAATTATGTTTTTTTCTACTTGTACATTTTTTTGTTATATACAAAATAATTAGTCCTAGAATTATACCAATGATAACACTTACTATTATTCTAGGTAGAGAAGATATCGGTAATAAATTAGAAAAACTTTTTCTAGCTTGAATTTGAGATAACAAATAGTTCTTTCTAGATTCTGCCAAAGAGCTTTCCGTTGATGATTGTTTATTTTTAGAAGAATTCTCATACTTAGTTTGTGATACAGGTTGTATGCACATCTGTGATGGATTAGAGATCTAAAAATGATATATTATCTGTTTAAGAGATAAGCCATGAGTTTTTTAATTCATTGATTAACCAGTCGTATATTATACATCAACTTTGCACCGTAAAATCGTTTTAAATCAAGTCTGTGCATTTGTGCACAACACATTTTCAATTGAGAAATTAAAACTCTTATTTTACATTATATTATCCTAATAGTATTTCACAAATGAACTTGGATTTAATTCTACAAAATATTATCAATTGTATACCTTGTGAAAATTTTGCCTTTCCCATGGTTTGTATTGTAGAGAACTACAACTCAAACGACGCACATATCCTTCCAATGGTCTGCGGGGCCTTGGTTTACATAGAAAATTGATAGAATGTCTGTAATTACATTAAAGTGATTATCACAATGCAAAGCAATGCCTGCACAAAAGAGATTGAAAGGAAACCAATCGTGCAATATGCAAAAATAATCTACTTAGGCCTCGCTGTTTCTACCAATGAATTAATTTTAATCTTGGTTTAATTTGTGTGCTCTTCATATTTTCTAATTCTTAGAATTAGAGATGAAGAGTTAATTGAACCAAGATTAAAATTAAACTACAATGGTAGAAATGGGCATTAATGCAAAAATCTAAGCTCTAGGAGCTTTTTTTACATCCTGCAACCATTTATCGTTATCTCAGCGACGTTATAAATTTCGGGGAGATTTGTAGCAATAATACCTTGGGAAAAATATTCTGCCGTCCATTTTGCTATTTGTGAATTTTTCTTCGTGTCTTTTATCGTTGTGCGAGACCTCCTCAACGGTATTTACATCCCAATGAACACTACGCACAGCCATTGCAGCAATGCGCGAATTTTCAAACTGTGCGATGCAGTGGTGCAACCTTGCAACCTTGTAACATTCCTGACTTCGCGAAGTGAATTTCTCAAGAATCGTATAAGAACCATAAACAAGATTTAAGCTGGATTTCCATCTGACGCTAAACAGGTCACGTGATCAAAATTGGCGAAAATCAAGCGTCAATTTTGATTACGTTACCTGTTTGACGCTGAAAATGAGCGTCGAACGTCAGCATGAAAAAGCACCTTAAAGGTGCGTTTTACTTAAAGCCGGTTCTACATTAATTGCAAGCTGATCGCAAGTTTGTTGAGACAGCCAATCTGAAGCTTGCATTTTGAAATCAACGCTTCATATTGGCTGTCGCAACAAATTTATTAATAGAACCGGCTTAACGCCCGCAACGCTTATGGAATCATTTTATTCTTGTTGTTTATAAAAATATTAAACAAGGACAAGCGATGCTCGCGAGCGTGCGAGTATTAAATGAAACGCAGCCTAATAAATAGAGCGAGACCCATGAAAATAATGCCTTAAGGCGACATTCATTATACATAGAATATTAAAAATTATCTTGATTCTAATTGTAAGATCAATTTCTGATTAATTATTTATCTATAATAATATCTATTTTTCGTTTTTTCAGGCAATATGTGCTTTATTAAAATTTCTCGAGTCATTCTGGAGATCGATTGTATCTTGTAAACGAGGTAAAAATTACCAACGTGAACAAATTCACTAGGAGTTGACTCAATTGACCAATGAAATAAATATTCTACTCCTCTCGAATTAAATCGAATATCCCGAGATATCATGATATTAGGCCTGTTCTTTTTGACTGAACTTTTGCACGAGTTCATCTTTCTTCCTTTTCTCTCCAGGAGAAAAGAAGAGGAAGAAAGATGAACTGGTGCAAAAGTTCAGCCAAAAAGAACAGGCCTATTCCTTCGCTGGGAGATTTATTTCGCGCCAAAATTTGTGGAACTATCATAAAGTGAAATGTCGCGTGAGTACTCGTGTTGACAAACGTATTTTACGAGAAGAATATAATGGACGATTCACAGGGTAAGTACTCCCGAATATAATTTTTGAACATCACGCCGCAATAAGTGTGTTATTACATGTGCTATTGCATGCACTCATGAAAGCGTAAATCTTCAATCTGGATCTGCTATACCTTTTGTTTACATATATAGGTCTGTTTTTATTCCTGTTCTAGATTACTACAAATCTCTTTTTCGCTTTCGCCAAATATTATTTGCCCGAAATATATTTATTTTATTTAAAATTTTAAAAGTATGTACTGTTTCAACTCAAAAAATAGACTTTAGTTTATAATGTATATTCTTGATAATTCAGATGTGGTAATTGTATTCTTATAATTATTGAAAGAACAGTTCTTCCATAGATGATAACATAGTACATTAGGATGTATTATATTATATCATATTCTCATTGTGTCATATGTAATTAAAATAACTACTGCAGTTTTACTTTACTGAATAATGTTTTAGCATCTACGTCTGGCAGGTCGAGGCGTCAGAAGATTGATAAGACTGGCAGGCTCTCGGCTCTGGAAAGATTGAAGGAAGCTCGAAGTGGTAGCAAGCGCAAGTACGAGGTTGAAGAGCTAGATAATGTTTATGATGAAGTAGATGAGAAGGAATACAGTAATACTGTTTTAAAACGCCAACGAGATGATTGGATAGTTGATGATGGTAAATAAGAGTTTCTATATTACTTTATTACTAAAAAATATTTTATCATCTGAACATATATATTTGAACATATTATATTAAAAAAGTGACATGCTTGAAAAATATTTTATAAAATATATCTAAGTTTCTACCTCAAAGAGATATAAAAAGATATAGATATAAAAATGTATATATTAAATTTGAATTAAAATATTGAAGGAGAAAGCGGGTATGTCGAAGATGGAAGAGAAATTTTTGATGATGATCTGGACGAAGAAAGCATCCGGGAAGCGAGAAAACAGAGGAATAGCATGGCTGGCCCTAGAAAAAGAAAGAAGGAAGAGAATAAGAAGAAAGGAGATATTCAAAGTATGCTTAGGAGTATGCCTTCTAAGAAAGATGTTAATGTAGTTCAGATTAAAGATGATGATATTTTGGGAGAATTGCTCAGTGAGATTTCTACCAATAAAAAGACTACAAGTAGTCCTAAACCAGGAAGTAACAGAAATAAATTTTGTCATACAGTTCATTCTAACATTACGTAAGTTAATGAATTCTATTTATACTATGTTATTTTTTATACTTTGTAAAACTTAATTATAGTTATGCATACACATTTATTATAGACAAACATATCAGGCCTCATTTATGAACCAAAAAGAAGCTGATAAAATAATATCTGAAAAACCAGTGACAATCGTGTCAAATTTTGATAATACTGCACAAAGTGAAAGTCAGATAATTGAGGATGATGATGATGTGACATTATTTGATGCGCCACAGAAGAGAACAAGTAAACCAGTAGAATTAAATAATTGTTCAAAAATTGAAAAAAATTCAAAGCCAGAAGATCAAAGCACAAAAAAACCAATGGAATCTAATGAGCAAAGTGCAAGTCAGATTATTGAGGAAGAAAATACCCCTATAGTGGATCTTAGTGAATGTGTTGGAGATGTGAGTTGTCTTGTTTTATTATCTTATTTTATTATTTATATTAAAGTAAAGCTACATATAAAATATATTGCAGCTGTCCACAATAGATTTTGATGATGGAAGTATGGATACTGACTTTTCATCGTCAATAAATAACGTTAAATCTCAAAAAATGGATGTAAAGACTCCTGAAATAGGTGTAAAGACTCCTGCTCATAAAACTTCTGTCAAAAGTATGAAAATCGGTAATGCCGTTGACTTAATAGAAGTAGCGCCACAACTAGTCAAGACAAAAGATGAGGAAGAAGTATTTAGGTTCTACTATCTGGATGCATATGAAAATCCTTACAAAAATCCTGGAACTGTGTATCTCTTCGGCAAGACTTATGTATCTAGTCATGATACATACTGCTCATGTTGTGTTATGGTGCACTGTATACCAAGAAGAATATATCTCTTGCCTAGAAAATATGTACGTATATTTTCCGATGTTGTTTCTCGTCTTATTCAATATCTGGATATACTAGTATTTTGTAATTATTATTAAATTATTACTAAAGAATACTTTTTTTTACGGTTGTGAATTGCAGATAAAAAACACTGAATCGCAATTAACTACCATAGAAGATGTATATAAAGAGTTTGATGAGTACGCCAATAAGATGCGTATAATGGAGTTCAATTGCAAAGAAGTAAAGAAGCATTATTCCTTTGAAAAAGAGGGTACACCGAAAACTTCAGACTACTTGGAAGTCAGATATAATGCACGCTATCCAGCAATTGATTCGAATTACTCGGGTCCGGCGATAGAACGCGTCTTTGGCACAACCGTGAATGCATTAGAGCTATTGCTTATAGAACGAAAAATTAAGGGACCTTGCTGGTTAGACATTAAGAATATATCGCCCACTGCAGGGCGATTTGCTTGGTGCCCACAGATTGTACGTAAACACATGTATCATGTTACAACAATAAAAAATAAATTCGATACACTTATTTTATATTATAATGCAATAGGTTGTTACTTCAGACATGGACAATATATCGCTGTGTTCCCAAGAGAAAGCTAAACCTCCAATAGTGATAGCGACTATAAATGTCAGGATGTCTTTGAACGCAAAGTTGCAGAACGAAGTAGTGATGGTTGTTGTATTAATTCATCATAAATACAATGTCGATAAGGAACCACCAAAACCACCTTATGAACGTCAATTTTGTTGTAAGTTTACTTTTGCATTGTATTATTTACTAATTGTTTTCTTCATTTTCTTTAATAATTAATAATTTAATAATTATGTATATCATCTGAAGATGGCTTAATAATAAGCTGAAACATGTAATGTAATGTATTGTCTTTTCAAAGCTTTGAGCAAATTTTCATTGTATTTATGTTAGAGATATATATATTTTAATATTTTAAAAATTAACTTGACTCTTATATGTCCTTTTTGCGTTGAATTATATTTTTAATAATTAAATTGATATTTTAGAATGTTAATATTGTTTCATAATTTAAATACAGAAAAAAAAAGATTTTTATACTCGACGGAAAGTAAGACATTCATTTACCTTTAAATCGTAGATGTTTCTTCATTCGTTCTATCAAGACATTAATGAAGACTAAATATTAATTTACATCTTTTTACAGTTGTCACACGTCCACGAGATACCCCCTGGCCACGGCAAATTCGTGATGCCTTCCTGAAAGTTCCGAATACCGAAGTAATAAAATGTGAAACTGAAAGCGATTTACTCGAAGAGCTATTAACTTTAATGCAGAAAGTGGATCCTGATTTAATAATAGGCTACGACTGTGCATTTCAGTTCGATGTTTTAATGCAGAGAATGTTTACATTAAAAGTGTCTAATTGGAACAGAATGGGAAGATTAAAATCATCGACTCCTCCCTTACTTAGGGTAAAATATATCTTATCTCTTTTCAATAAATTAAAATTAAAATTAAAATAGTACAATTAATATGTATATTATATTTACGTAGTATACTAAAACTATGTTTATGTAATTGATATGTGAATATACGAAGATAGTTTTTCTAACACAAGATGACACAAGTAATATTTATACAGGGAAAAATAATCCTTAATCAAGCGTTTGTCGGTCGTCCAGTTTGTGATATACAAGTTTCGGCAAAAGAATTGAATTTAAAAGTCAGGAGTTACGATCTGCAATCACTTTGTAGTGCAGTAAGTCATATTCGGCACATTGATACTATATTGTTCGTACGATCAAACAATTAATTTTAACAAATATTTTTAGGTATTAAAGACGAAGGAACACGAATATAAAGAGATTACGCCAGCGGAAACTCCATTATTTTTCAATACAGCGGATAAAGTGTTAAATTTAATGCATGTGACATTAAAAGAAGCAAAATACATTATAACCATAGTGATGGATCTCAATGTTATACCGCTCGCACTTCAAATTACTTGTTTAGCAGGTACATTTTAAGATTGTTTTGTTCTTAATAAAATATAATATCGATATTAATATTATATACAAATAGTTTTTTTATTAATAATTGAATGAATATAGGTAATATTTTATCGAGGACGCTATTAGGCGGAAGAGCGGAAAGGAACGAGTATCTGTTGCTGCATTCTTTTAATTTGAAAGATTACATAACGCCGGATAAAAAAATTGAAAAGAAGCAAAAGGATGGTGAGATCTTTATATATTTTTGTACATTGTTATTACGAAATTATTATTTATGTTTGGTATACTAACGTCAGATATTTACTAGATGGTCCGCGTAGGAAAGCTGCGGCGTACACTGGAGGTCTAGTACTTGATCCGAAGAAAGGTTTCTACGATAAACTGGTACTTCTGATGGACTTCAATTCCCTATATCCGAGTATTATACAGGAATACAATTTGTGTTTTACCACCGTACCCGGTGCGGCGTATACTGACGTCGAGGTAATTTTTTTCACGTGCAAACATCGAGCAGCAAATATTTATATTAAAGCATTTTTTGTTATTAAATTAATTATATTAAAATTTTCACGGTGCAGCAATTAACTATTCCTGAGTCGAATCTGGAGCCAGGTGTGGTTCCGACAGAGATTCACAAATTAGTCAAAAGCAGGCAGCAGATCAAACAGCTTATGAAAACGCAAAAGAATTTATCACCAGCGCAGAAAATGGATTATCATATCAGGCAAATGGCATTGAAGCTCACGGCTAATTCCATGTATGGATGTTTGGGAGCGACACATTGTCGATTTTATGCTAAAGGCCTCGCCGCTCTGATAACAGGTAAGATATGCAATAGAAATTAAAAATACATGTTGATAATGTAAAGTATTAACGATTCTTCAGCCAAGGGTCGGGAGATTCTGGAGGATACGAAGCACTTAGTTGAGAAACTGCAGTACGAAGTAATTTATGGCGACACCGATTCTTTAATGATAAACACTAATATTTTGGAATACGACGACGTTTTTTTGATCGGCAAAAAAGTGAGAAAGATATTCCATCGTATGATTTGTATTATAATTCGTAATACATTTTACATTTACATCATGTAGAGATATCATTAGCAACACTATAGAATTAAATATTTTTTAGATTATGCGCGAAGTCAACAATCGATATAAGAAAGTTGAATTAGATATCGACGGAGTATTCCGATATCTATTGCTATTACAAAAGAAGAAATACGCCGCCGTTATGATGTCAAAAATAGATGGTCAAATACAATTGACGCAGGAACACAAGGGTTTGGATATCGTCAGAAGAGATTGGTGTCCATTGGCTTGCGACACTGGAAAGTTAGTAAATATATTCGATATTTTCAGAAATTAATTTCATTCAAATTTACTTGAATTATTTATTCTTTTAGAAAAATTTTGGATATACTTCTCTGTGATCAGTCAAGCGAAACGCGTTTGGAACAAGTCGTGCAGATTTTGCAAAATATTGCAAAAAGTGTAAAGGAAGGAACGGCGCCACTGTCATCATTTGTTATCACTAAACAATTGTCGAAAAATCCAGATGCGTATCCAGATAAAAAGCAATTATCTCATGTTATGGTAGCACTTAGACTAAACAAAGCGGGTGGTCGGATGTGGAAAGCCGGTGACACCCTGCCATACGTTATATGCGAGGTTTCTTTTTATTTTCATAATTTTAATTAGTAAATTTTCTAAATAAATTATAGAAATGGAAATCGATAAAAAGATACAAACATGAAATATTATTTTAATATTAGGATGGAACCAATGCGAGTGCGACGGAACGGGCGTATCACATTGACGAAGTAAAGAATAGTGAGAAATTAAAGGTGGATGTCAATTACTATCTGCTGAGTCAAATATTCCCTGTAGTGTTACGTATTTGTGAGCCAATCGAGGGTATCGACGATGTTTTCTTAGCCAACAATTTAGGTATTTCAAAGTTTTTGTAAGTTATAGAAATGGAATAATGCATATTTTACATGTCAATTTGTTCATTAGGTTTACAATTTATTTATAAACCTAAGACGATATCTTGCGAGGCAACTCTAAACTTACCGCTAGCTATTAATGATGACAGGTTCAACAATTGTCTTCCTTTGACATTTAAATGCAAAAATGAACGATGTAATACGGAAATAATTATTAAGGATACTGTTACAGAATTTGTAAGTTTGTCTTTTTTCACACACACACATTGTATATGATTCTTTGTGTTTTATATAATCAAGATTTTTATAATACATATCGTATCTTTAATTAAATTGATATTTTTAATGAAAATTATATTGTTAGATATTTATATATATATGTTATTTTCTGCAGCATTCTGGTCGACAGTTATCACTTAGCATGTGCCCTAATCAAGACTGTAAATTACCACCTTGGAAATACGCAAATGTGATACAAAATGTAATTCAACTTGCCATGAGAAAAGCAATTAGCAAGTACTACAATGGTTGGTTGGAATGCGAAAATCCACTTTGTTCCAACAGAACAAGACGACTACCGTTGGATTTCGCGAAGAAATTTCCAGATTGTTCAATGTGCAAGGACGTTTCTATGAATCGAGTTGTAAGTTCATTAAATCAACTTTGTATATTTTTATACTTATATACTTTGAGGCTGTACAATATTAATATACACTTTTGTATGTCTCTTTTTCAGTATTCTGGAACAGATCTGTACAATCAATTGTACTATTATCATAAAATGTTCGACATTACTCAACCGGCTTACAAACGTAATAAATCTTTTATCGCATTTTATGTTACAGTATCTGGAAAAACGTAGGAATTGAGTTTTTTAATTTTTTTTTACAGATCTATTGTCTCAATGTTCACGGGATATGATAGCCGCATACAACACACTAAAAGAAGCAATTGACAGGCAATTGAAACGAAATAAATTTTCATGTGTAAATATCACAGGAATATTCAGCAGTGCCAATACTAATTCTGTAGGAATGTTTGTCAATCATGGTACGTGGGAGGATTTTGACGAACTGGGGGATATATCCGACGACACAGATAAAGAAATTTAAAGAAGAAACGTATCGATCAATTTAAAAAATAACATAAAAATCAAAAAGACTGCGTCTAAGAAAATCTTACAAATTAAATTGTCCTTTACGAGATAATTCCGTGCATGTACGTTTCATTCACTAATATGTATGCAATAAATTCAGAGAAAATTGTATTACATCTCATATGGAGGTAGTCCAAACTTTTCCGGTTCAAACTTCTCCAGACTATCTAAGACTAGGGTCGCTTCGGTCGTATAACGTTTGGGAAGCATCGGATCCGGCACCATAACAACCTGCATTCCGGCGCTAAGTGCCGCTTTCACGCCATTCGGCGCATCTTCAAAAACCAGACACTAAAGAGAAATTTATAATCTTAAACACTGTAAGATAATTAATTGATTCTTAGATTTCAATTATTTTTGGTCTTTAAATATAGTTCGAATAAAGCCTAACAAAAAATATTTCATGCTATATCTGACAGTTAAATGACTGTCTCTTTGACGAATCCAAATTATTATATTACCTTCGAAGGATCCGGATTGTCAGGGAAACGCTTGGCAGCTATGAAAAATATATCAGGCTCCGGTTTTCCGTGCACGACTTCAGGATCCGAACCGCCGAGCACTTTGTGATGAAAAAGTTCGAAGAGATCATGCCAGCGACTAGTTTTCAATTCATAGTTTTCTCGGTCCGAGCTCGTGGCTAACGCAATCGGAATATTATTTTCTTTCAGGTGCTTCAGTAACCTAACGGCGCCTGTTACACAAATTGTTGTTTAGTAATTCAATCAGAATTAAATTATTAATACATCTGATGTATCTTGGTACAGAGCATTACCTGGCATAGGATTGGTATGTGGAAACAATTCCTGATAAATTCCAACAATCTCCTTCTTGAATTCGTCCTTTGTTAACGGTAATTCTAATGTTTCAACCACGTATCCGGCAACGTCTTTGGTCTTAAAACCCATCGTTTGCGCCTTGTGCTCCCACGTGAATTCTTTACCATAACGATTAGTGATACGGTTGAAGGCCTTGGTGTACAGATGTTCTGTATCTAAAATAAAACGTGATACAGACTAATTATGAATCGAATGGTCAGAAGTATATCTAATCTGTCTTCATACTTACTGAGCAATAAACCATCCATATCGAAAATGCAGTGCGTGACTTTGTTGTATGTGTCGGACATTTTGCAACTTAATATTTAGAATAGGGATATTTAGAAATCTAATGTTTCGAACACATCAAACGAGATGGAATAGTGAAGATGAACGAGAATACGATGCTGTAAACCGTGTTATTACGTCAATATTACTGCCTTATCTATTATCTGTTATTACTATGTTATATAATACATTTTTTATTTTCATTATGTTTAACATCGAAATTGGTATTTTATATAATAAGACAATCGCTTTTTATTTCGAACAAGTTTCACGAAGGAAATGAAAGTGAAACTATATGTTTGATGTAATACAATTCCTTCGAGAATTATTACTAAGCATTATAAAAAATAAAATAATATATTTAAAAAAATCTTTTTTAATATCGTAGAGAATATTAAAGTTGTTTTTGATTCATTGTATATATGTATTTATATTTATATTAAACTTTTAGTAAACAAAAACAGTATTCTAGCAGAACGTTTATTATCGTGTGTAAATGAGCAATGTTTTGACGAGTATAGCTTTATGAAAGATTTGTATAGAAAGATAATTAATGTATGCAGAAAAATAAGATGCATAATATTTTCATAATAAAAAATATTTAAACATCCAAGACAGAATAGAGAAAATATTTATTGAAAATAGTTAATATATAAAATATGGATAAGAGAGCAAAATTCATGAGTACAAATCTAAGAAAGAATTGTAGAAAGATAAAATAATTTTTTGTATAAAAAAAAATTAAATATTTAATTAAAAATATAGGAAATATTTATTGAAGATAAATAAATATATAAAATAAAAAAAACAATTTTTATAATAAAAAAAAACGTTTGTAAGTGATAATTTGAAGGAAAAAACGAGACGCTCATACTATAAAGTATTGCTGAATTCTTATCATAAGCAGCTACCTTGCATACCAAGCCACAGAACCTGTTTTCATTCTCTCAATTCATTTTTAATCGAATATATTTTATGTATGTATGTACATACATATATCATATGTGTATATTATATGTATAACATGTTATATGTATGTGTTTTTATTTTGTAACTAATTCATTTGAGAGAAAATTCTTGAAACGAGGTGTATGATAAATAGAAATTGTATAAATATATTTGAAAACGTAAAGAGCATAATCGCGACTGATTCTTTTGCCGGTAACCTATTTGCGAGAGATCGCAAGAAAGCACTTGACAGTTGACAGATCAAACGGTATTGCAAATAATGCTGAGATATGAAATTTTTCACCATGGTTCGGCTTTGCCGGGAATAATAAGAGATTAGAGGAGTTTTCTACCTAGCGTCTCGATCTTCATACAATGTTATCTTATGTTATCGTGAATCCTGAATTGCACTAAACTGATTAAACTGCTTTTGCTGCTAAAAATGAGACATGAATTCTGACGAATGCCGCTTTTCGTCACCAGATGACGATAAAGCGAGCTTGCGCAACGGAATCTTTACTTTTCGCGCGAGACGAGAGTCAACCTGATCAATCTCATTAATTATCGAAAGATACATCTCCAGATAGAAATATTTTTCGGCTAAACATGAATGATCACAGAGATGAATTTTTCTGGAATGACTTCGATCAAATTTCGATTAAGTATTCAGTCAGTTCTTACATTAAAAATCATCTTAAGTACAGTCTTCAGATATCATAAGCTAGTCGCAGTTATATTAGCATCTTAATCTTTAAATAGGTGTGTGGAGTCAGAATTATTTTTTCTTCTCCTTTTCAATAAACTTTCTAGAACTTACAATCTGCTTAAAAGAAGTCAAATATCATGAGTGAAAGACAGATTATACGATCCAGTATTTAGCCTCCTCGAGCAAGAGACAGGAAGAGAAGCTCCAGAGTTTTCAGTCATTGTGTAATTTTGTCAGTGCGCCTACTTAAAGGTTAAGACATTTACTTGAGACAATCTTGAAATAAGAACGGACCGAATAATAGACTAGATACGCATACCGGCCCAAGAATCACTTGTGAAGCAAGAAGACGCATGCGCCAGTTACTCCGTTTTGTAACAGATACGTGATACGTGGTGGTTGCAGTGTTGTATACTGTTGTATACTGTGGCAGTGTAATAACGTCGCGGCGACACGCGGTGTGTTTGGACGAAAGAAAAAAGTGTCCTTTGTGTCACGTTGAATTTATATCATGACAAGATCCAAGAGTTTGTCAAGTAACAACATATATTTTGCGTGAACGCACAACGGTGATCATGGATCAGCTGATTATCTTGGTGTCCGTGGTTCATCTGCTATATTGCCCATTTACGAAAGTCGAGGAGAGTTTCAATCTGCAGGCGATGCACGATGTTCTTTATCACGGCTTCAATTTAACAGAGGTAATGACTGAAACATTAAACGGATCATTGAATCGTCCAAATCCAATTGGATATGGTGTTATTCAATAATTATTGTCCATCTTGGCCGATTGATTGTAATCAGGCAGCCAGCACACAAAAAGTGCCGTATTATATTTAGTATCAGATATGTGTATTTATAAACTCGCGATCAGCTGATGCCGCTCCGAGTTCATTTAATGCATTAGCGGGCGATTTCGTATTTTTTTATTCTTTACTCAAATGTTATCTTTTCTGCTGATATTTCTGGCAGACGTATTGCTGCTTCGATGGAAAAGTGATACATTTCTCAAAATTAACAACTTTTCAGTAGTGATTTAAACGTTTTGAATTGAAACAATGTTTCAATTAGGATAAGTGAATATGTAATGTCTATTTTGAAATTTACTACTGGTAGAGTATATTAAAATAGATAATTAGATATTTAAAGTAGATATTTAGAGTAGACATTTCGTTTGAAAAAATGGAAACGCAAGTTTTCATTTGCTTTTATAATTATGTTAATTTTTCAGTTAATTTTTTGATTGGCTATATTAATTTATGAATTTACTAAGTGGATATTATTCTTATATTGTTAATAGATTTTTGATATTTTTTTCCTAACAGTATGATCATCATGAATTTCCTGGAGTTGTGCCACGTTCCTTTTTGGGACCTATTATCGTATCTGGTCTTGCTTCACCATTGGTGGCATGTATTAATTACTTAAAACTCAATAAATTTTTTGCTCAGTATATAGGTAAGTTCAATAATTTTAGTTAGAATATAATAATCATACATATTTTTTCGTAGAATAAAAGGTTTAATATAATTTTTTTTTAGTAAGAGCAATATTGGGATTATTGGTAATATCTACACTCAAGTTATATAGACAGGTTTTACAAAAAATCTTTGGGGTGCAGTTTACGAAGTGGTTCGTGGCCATAACTGTGACACAATATCATTTTATGTACTATCTTAGTCGTCCACTGCCAAACATTATGGTTATGCCTTTAGGTAATAAAGTAAAACTTTTATGTGTATGTATACCATCCTTGCTAATTTTTTAATATTTCTTTATCATATTAAAACGCTTGATTCGTATTGTTCATTTGCTACAACAATGGCATGACTAAAAAATTGTTTTTGCGTTAGGGATGATTACATATATTAATGCGATTTAGGGACGATTTTAAATTTATATCATAATAATTATATTATAAATAACATTGATAATGACCCAATAGGGGTCAAAACGTTTATTATTTGTCTATTTTAGAAATATATACAATTAGTACAAACAACCTGCTCGACTAGTAGCTCCTTCCATTTCTATTTAGTATTTATTAAAAAAATTGTAATTTTGATTGCTTACAGAAAAAGAATGGAAACACAAAGAAAAAAGATCGTATTTTAAAAGAACATATTTTTATTCTTCTAAAATTAGTTACTACACTAAAATTATATTTTCGAAATATGTTGTAGCAAATAATCGGTATAATTTCATATATTCTTTTTTTTTAATTAATGAATATAATATTGCAGTATTACTGGCCTTATTTGGATGGTTGAGGAAAAGTCATGTGTTGTTTATCTGGTCATCGGCTGCAGCGATAATAATATTCAGAGCAGAACTTGCCATACTTTTGGGATTGTTCCTCTTACACAATATAGCGAGCCAGACACTTTCTGTACAAAGGTATTTACATATTATGTCATGGACCATTGATTCCTAATATGGCTGTAAGATTACAAACAGAAATTAAAATCATCATGGGGTCTTCTGCAAAACTGCACAGATTTGTAAGCTTTCAAGTCAAATCTCTAATCGTTATGTGTATTGCATACATTACCATGAAAATTCCTTGGATTTTATTGAGACACAAGTCCGATTTGATTTCACACCATTATATTAAAAAGATATCTAATCTTCTATATAATTTTCTTTCCAAATTACTTATTACACAATAATGTTTTATAATAATTTTTAGACTGCTTAAAATTGCGGTTCCAGCTGGTGTATTGTTCTTAGCACTTACTATTGCTACAGATTCAATATTCTGGAGACGCTTAGTATGGCCAGAAGGCGAAGTGTTTTATTTCAACACTATTCTTAACAAAAGCAGCGAATGGGGTGTATCCTTTTTAGATGTAATAATAAGGTTTTTCATTAAAGATTTTCAATATCTCGGATGATAATCTTGGATTGTGTAGTGTTAGAAAAAATTGTTTTTGATCTGTCACATCACTAGGCTAGTGTTTATTCAAATTTCAGATTGTATATATAGTACACGATAAACTCATAAATTCTGAAAAAGACACTTTTGATTGTTGAGATATTTCGTTTGGTAGAGATCTTTCAGTATATATTTATAATTTTTTAATATGTATATCGGTACATAAATGAACTTAACACATAAATAGACATCACCATTTTTATGGTACTTCTATTCAGCCTTGCCAAGAGGTCTAGCATTTTCATATTTTCTAATTCCTCTTGGGATGTTCTGGGATATCAGAGTTCGCGTGCTTACTGTTCCAGCTATCCTATTCGTTATATTATTTTCGTTTTTACCACATAAGGAATTGAGATTTGTAATATATGTATTCCCATTGTTAAATGTTGCCGCAGCTGCTGCTTGCCACAGAATGTAAGTATATTTTATTCGAATTAATTATTTTTTCATCAGTAATTCCATTCTAATTTATCAACATGATTTTTTTAAACGTATATTAATTATAAAGATTACAAAATTACGATTATTATTAACATGTTCTTTTGCTCTTAGTAAAAATATAAGCGAAAAATGCTGATATAACATACTATCTTTCTTTTATAATAATTATATATAATTTTAAATAAATATAAATAAATAATTATTAATAAATGTATATATTTTTTGTCAATAAAATAGTCTAGAATTAACACAGTTATAGAGATCAGATTGCCACTGATGTGGCATAATGAGAATTAAGCTTTAGATTATAAATCTTTGTAGCTATACATATATAATATAATGTAATAATTAAAAAATTGTTTCTTGTTGAAAATTAGATGGGAAAACAGAGCAAAAACGACGTGGAATAGTTTTCTAGCGATAGTAGTCTTGAGTCATCTTGTATTAAATGCTATGTTCTCCATGTTTCTACTGTGTGTGGCCAGTTTTAATTACCCTGGAGGTTTGGCAATTGCTAGATTGCACAGACTTGAGAGAGGCTCTATCGAGCCAATACATGTGCATATTGATGTGTTAACTGCACAAACCGGAGTATCAAGATTTACACAGACGAATGCTACTTGGATGTAAGTTACTTTGCTTAACTCCCCCATTATGATACTTTTTAATAGCAAGATTATTCATTATGTTACAGTTACTCAAAACAAGAAAACCTTACTATTGATGACCCTGAAATGCTACAATTTACTCATCTCTTGATAGGAGGAAGAAACAAATTTTCACCGAGTATAAAGCCTTATCTTAAAACTCATGATATTATTGATTCTATCGATGGATTTTCGCATATAACATTAAATTATAATATGTTACCACCTATTAGAATTAAAACAAGGCCTAGCATATTTATTATGAAAAGAAAATCGAATATCAAGTATGATACTAATAAAGCAAGTTCACAAACTTCTATAAAATATTTTACAGATCAGGTAGATGATATAAAAGATGTAAAATTAAACATGTCTTTTAAAGAAGAAATAATTAATAAAGTTGTAGACTCGCTAGAAAAACTTGAAGAAGCAAAAGAAACTGTTGAACAAAAATTTTCAGATGTTGAATTTGAAGAGACTAAAAAAGAAAATGATGCAATAAAAAAAGTAGAAATATTTGATTTGGCAGATGATAACATATCTATGGAAAATACTACTACATGGAAAACTGAAAGTATAAATAAATTATCGTCGGATTCAAGAGATAAAAACGAAGAAAATATTGATTCTCAGGAAGATTTCAACGATGTTTTAGATATCAATGATGTGAAATTTGATAAAAAAATAAAAATTGAAGAAAATATTAAGGGAAAATCTAAAGAGGATACAAATCTACGTCAAGAAACTCAAGGTATTAAAGAAAGTATAAAAAAAATAATTCAAGAAAAAATGCTAGAAGCTAAACAGAGGAGAGAGGTCAATGATGAACGAAAAAATGTAGAACTTCCCATAAAATCAATGAAAAAGAAAGGAGTAGCACATATATTAAAAAGAGTAGAAATATTGAAACAGGAATTAAAAGAACCACCAATTTTTATAGATAAATCAACAATAACGGGAGAAGAACTTAAGAAAGAACATGTGAAAGATGAACGTACAATTAGTAAACAGAAATCAGTTTTACAAAAGAAAGATAAAATGAAGATAACAAAATCAGATAATTTAGAACAATCTGAGGATATAATAGAAGAAGAGAACGAAATTGTAGATGTAAAAACAGATGCAAAAAAGATTGTAAAATCACGACACAAAGTTAACGCAGAATTTCCTGAAGCAAAAATTGCAGAGGAAGAGAATAAGGAAGAGAGAATTGAAACACCTAAATTAGTGAATGTAAGAGAAAGTATAAGGAACATAATAAATCAGTTTAAAGAATTTGAAAAAAATTTCATACATGATGATACAATAGTATCAAACGATATGAGCAATGCAAATTATATTGAGAGTGATTCGCCTATGGAAGTGGATTATTCTGCAGAAAATAATGGTCAAGTAATGATAAAAGATGCTAGAGAAAGTCTTAAGGAAATAATAGATCAATTCAAATACATTAAACATGAATTAACTTCAGAGGAGGATGATCAATTCGACGAAATTGCAGCTAAATATATGGAACGGCCAATCGCTGAAACATTGCTGCAATTTAACGAAGCTCTAAAAGCTCTAATACAACAAAGAAAAAAATCTTTATCAAAAGAATATGCAGCCAACTTACATGACACAGATACTTATATATCAGAAAGTCAAAGAAAATCTGTTGCAGAGAAATCCAATGTAAATATTATAAATATCAATGGAAAAGAAAGCTTAGAGAAAAGTAAAGAATGAGTTATAAGAAACTTTATTTAATAATGTTTCTAAGTAACTTTATTAAGTGTTACTAGCAAAACGAACGTGTAATATTGTAACATAATGTAAATATGTTTTTCTGTGATATCACAACATATTGTATTTTTTAATATATGCTCGCTTATTATCAATATAGAAAGTACAAAATTGACTTTCCTACATGCGATAGAGAAAACAAATGTTATACAATTTTTCATATATTTATATCATGGATATGATCTAAATCATCATGGAGCACAAAATTTACCTAATACGCTAAAATAATATATGTATAATTACAATAAGGATATATTTTATAGCCATATTATGGCTTTATTTGTAATTATATATTTTTATTCATCTGAAATTACAATTATGGACATAACCATGTTCATAAGTTGTAAACATTAAACTATAGTATGAGTTGCACTGTTGTCTTTTTACAATTTTTGCATTTAGTATTGCTTAAATATGTAGCTGATTATGTCACATCACGCTTGTAACAAACCATATGTTAAATGAATTAAGAGTGAAATGAATTATAAATTTCTATGTTCCATGGAATTCATTATACAATATTTAACAGACTGATGAATAATTTCCATTCAACATTTATAGAGTATCATAATAATACAGTGATTAATAGACTTATTAAATCTCTTCCAAAGTTAGAAACACACACACAATATTAAGAATATAAATGTATGTAAAACATGTAGTCGCGTGTGTATGTTTGAATGCGTGTGTAATATATCAGATGTATTGATGTTTTACATAAAATGAAATTAGATATTCTAATTTACAAATTCGATTATATCAAATAAAATATCTGAACCTTCTAGAGAAAAAGTTCCGACATGAACTGTTTAAAAGGGGAACTCTTTATGATTTCTTTGGCATATGATCACAATATTCTGATTGAATAAGTGTGTATACTGATAGTATTGTGTTAACAAAGACCACACTTGATAGAATGTAAAACACAATTTTATCGCGTATGCCACCTTTTAAATAGACTGGAAGTCCATCATCACACTAGAAATTTATGATGCCATGCATTAATATTGATTTTTTTTTATATAATTCTTAAGTCAAATTTAAAAAATTGTTTTGAGTTACGAATATACCTGCATCTTTGCCTGCTTCAATTTAAATTTCTGGAATTCCTTGCACTCTACGAGCGATTGGTTTGTGCCAAATAATTTTCGTGGTAATAGAGCATTGTACACACGTATCTAAATTGAAAGTTAAAGATTTCTTAATATTTTTTTGAAAATTCAGTATTCTACGTTTACTTATTAAATTGGCATAAAGGATTTATTCCTTCTGTTTCTATCAAGGTCTGTTTTATGTAAGTAAGAGCTTTTGAGAAATTTTATTTATAAAAAAATTAATAATTTTAATTAATAGAAAAATGCTTTGCGAAACTATATGATTCAGTTTTAAGTTTATTTTATTATTAACAGACACACATTTTTTACATTAACTCACAATAATACAATATAATTTAAAATTATGATAATAAGAATTACGGTTCTTTTTATACAGCAATGGAACATATTAACAATTAATTATAATATTTAACGTGTTATTAGAAAATTCTGAGTTACTTATATTGCGTTACCTTGTGCATATTCCATTTAAACATTTTCGAAATTCTCCCTGGTTTAATGGCAACTCCGTGCAACATGCTTTGTTAACATTTAGGTCTGACAAAAATAAATAAATATTAGTGATCTTATCTTTTTTTTTGTTCATCGGTTACTAAGAAACCAAATGTTTAGAAAAGCAACACATATTTTAAAAAAGAAATAGATATAGTTATTGCAAAGAAAGATAATATATTATTTAAAGTCATAATTTAATCTTCTATTGGTGTTATCAATTCGGTTGCAATAATTACAATTTTTCATTTTTCAAACAAGAAATTAAAATTATAAACCATTCATTATAATTATCTATTTGATTCAATCAGTGACATAATCACGTGACACCAAACGCAGCCATGTTGTAAAATTCTTTAATATGATTGGTCTTGCCCCTAGTTCCTCACTGGATTTAAATGTATAAACTAATTATAGAATTTTACACAGTTGCAACTTGCAACGCTACTTTTCTTCTGAAACGCAGCTATTCGTCAATTTTGATCATAATTTTTGTTGTTAAAACGATCAGTTTGAGTGACTCATGAAAACGTACCCATTGTCTCCTACACCGTGGACGCGGAAACGTTTATCGCGCGGTAAAGTGTGACGCGGTAGCCAATAAGCTTACACCCCCTAACATGTTTATTGGTTACCGCTGTGCACTTTCCCGCGCATATTGGTGCCTGGCGGTAACGAAGCGAAACTGTTAGCATTTTCGGCCCGGCTAGGTTTGTACCAACCTGGGTTGGATTAATGGCGTTTTGTGCCCTCCTATTGGTAGAGCGGGTGACGTCAACCAATAGGAAAGATTAATCCAACCCAGGTTGGTGCAAACCCGATCGGGCCGAAAACGCTATGTGAGAATCGCCAAGAGATCCAAGAGTCACTAGTTGTCGGTGGAAGGCCACGTTCGAGCAGCTGAGAGAGCCTGGCGCCCGGCGCATGCGTATCCGTCGCGCGACGCAACAGTCGTAAACACGACCCTTCCTTTTTTTTGTTTTTTTGATCGGTGTTCCTCGCGACTCGAGCACGCCTGAGCGGCCCGAGCACGCCTGTACGGGGTGAACCGAACGTCTCGTAGGGTGAGACGCGTCGCGATTCTGCGACGTTGGCGTTCTCGCGTGAGTCTACGCGAGCCGAAAGATGATGGTTACAGCGGTGGCACCGCGACTCGGCATCTCGTGATATCGTAAAATTCACAGCTCGATGGTATGCGGTGACGTCATCCGAATCTGTTCTGGAAGGATCCAGCAAAACAATGGCGGGTGCGTATTCCATGTTGGCGTCGAGCGACCCTTTCGCGCCCCCTTGCCGTTATAATCGCCGGTCTTTGTACGTAATTATGCGTTTTGCGTTTCAGATTTGTATGCGCAATACAGCTGCACCTATTGCCAGGAGGACATCGCGGGCCTACGTGTCAAGTGCATCGAGTGCCCCGAATTCGACCTTTGCCTGCAGGTGGGTCGACGGTTCGGACGACCATTTTGAATCACGTGATACCCAGTCTTGCCTCCCTCTTTTCATCTTTTTCGACCTTTCCGTTGCTCTTGTTCTTTTTCCCTCTCATGCTAGGTTTTTTCCCCCCTCCTTTTCGTTAAATATTTATTCATTTTTTTCTGTGTTGCTTGTATACTTTCGATCGTATTCGCTTTTACGTTTCCATGTCTCTCCCCTATTTCTCCCCCATCCCCTTCCTCTTTTACTCTATTCTCGAACCTATGAATGAAATTTATGACTAAAGATGTAGTTCTTTATAGCTAAACTTTTGTACATTTATTGTAGTACTTGAATTGAAACAGATAGGAAAATTATTTCTTCCTTAAAAATGTTTGCATTTAAAATGAGATAAATATATATATTTAAGTATTTGAGACTGAGAACATTCTGAGTGCGAAAGGTGCAGCCAACACATGGATTTTATATTAAGACTTTGGCAAAAGCGAGATAGAAAATTTTACACGGTGTCTGTAAAAGAGCAGTAAACTTTAAGAAGTTAACTAATCATAGTTTATTATTCTTCTCATATTCAACTGTGATTAATCAATTTCTTAAGTACTTCTCCATTGTAGATACTTTAGTGCAATGACCAAGAACAAGCCTTCAGGACTATCACACAAAGGGTTTTTTCTATCATAACATTTTTCACTGGGAAAGCTAATGCAATTGAATACAAATCATTTTACATATTTTCGAGGTTAATACATAATTTATTCTTTTTAAAATTATAAGTTTATCAATGAAAAATCTGTAATTAAAGGTTAAATTTATTAACACTGGAAATATGTAATCTGATTTGCATTCAATTGCACTCACAATCAGTGTGCACCTGTGTTGCACCAATATTTCCAGTGGAAAATGTTATTAGACACTAGGATCGTTCTGTCTTTGTTACTCATGAAATACAAAGAAAGGTAGAACGATATTTATGACATCTTATGTCATTAAATGGTACCCGAAATGATATAAACTGCATAAGCATGGCATGAGGCTTCTGGACCAATGAGCCTTATGTAAATCAACATGACGCCTTTATGTTGGATGCTCATTGGTCCAAAGTCTTTAGGTGGGAGCAGTCATAATGCACAATGCATAATGCATAGAAAATAAATCAAAGTCTTTTATTTCCTTTTTTTCTATGAAATAAAAGATACTGATTTTCTTAGGGTCTAAAAACATTAAAATTAAATAAAGTGTACATAAAGAAAATTATTTAATCACATTTTACATATATCTTTATAAGAAAAATGCGATTGGATAATTTTCTTTATGCATACTTTATGCAGCTATTTAAGTTTGTGTGGATATACTTTTATATTGTATGTGCATTATGCATAGGTCTGTGCTCCAACCTTTAATGATAGATATTTTGAATTATGATATCTGTAAAGTTTTGATATTGTAATTTTAAAATAATGAGTGGTATAATTAAAGAATTATTGAAATAGGCAAATATGTATATTTCTCATAATAATTTAATCAGCAATATTTAATATTATTTGCCGTTTAAATTATTTATATCTTACATTTTATTAGTGTTTCGCAAAAAATGACACTAAAGATTTGAAAGTGTATCTTTGGCTGCTTTCCTTTTAGTAGACGTAGTAGATATAAATGTCGTTTTATTCTTAGCATTCAATGATTAACAAAGATAAAACAACTTTGTGTCAACTACATGTCCTAAAAGAAAAGCAGTTTTTATTAAATGTATCTATATGTGAAATGTATACTCGCACACAAATTTAATATTAATTGAAAAATAATAAATTAATTTAGACTCATTTATGTAATTATAATATAAATAAATAGAAGAACGTTAAAATATAGTCAAAACATAGTCAAAACCTAATAATATTTCTACGTAAATTATTAAATACATTTTCCAGTTCTTCAAGCTGCGTGCCAAACACGGCTGGTCTTAAAACACCCAAACGTCCCAAACTGAAGCTAGAATAGTAGTATCACAAATAAAATCTATGTGTTCATATTGTGTTTTTTTTTTGCTGGATTGCATTTGCTTGCGTTTCAATAAATTACTAGAAATTCTGTGTTCTGATATGTAATTCTAGTAATTTACTAAAACGCAAGCAATTTAGCAAGAAAAATCGTAGGCTTTTACATCGATTGTCAATTAAATAATACTAATGCTAATATATAAACATTTTAAAACACTATAAAAAATTTATTATAGAAAATATCATCCTGACTGAGATGATGGTTTATTAGCATTATTATTCAATTAACGATTGATTTGTGATATTAATATTCCAACTTTAATTTAACTGCATTTCAAGTATACGTTTTGTTTCATGCATGATGCGCATGATGTATTATTTTATTCTTGTTATTCACCGAATTCAGAAAGGATAAAATGATATACTTATGCACATCATGCGTAAAACGGAGCGCATCCCAAAACCGGCTTTATTTAATGTACCGTTTGTAGAAATGGAACATGTAATAATTCACATAGAAATTATTATGCACGAAAATCCTGTCTTGACTGTACTTGGCGCTTCTCTATTTATTTGTATTAATTAAAAAATATATATGCAAAATTTAAAATATAATTGAAACATTAATTTTGTAAATTATTTTTAGTGTTTTTCCGCCGGTGCTGAAATTGGTCAACATAAAAATAATCATGCCTATCAATTTATGGTACGTATCAGTATATTGTGAACAAAGACAATTTTGAAATTGCGTGCTACAGAACTTAGCATGTTAATATACTTTTGCACGCATTGATTTAGGACTCTGGTACGATCAGCATATTCAATGGTCGTGGCAACTGGACAGCCAGAGAACAGCTGAGACTCCTGGACGCAATCGAACAATTTGGGTTCGGAAACTGGGAGGACATCAGCAAACATATCGAGACGCGTACGCCAGAAGGTAATTTAACTAGCATACTTTATAAATGTCACAAAATCTAGAGTCAATTTTTTTCAATTCATTCTTATCGTCTTCTATCTTTTATCTTTTGTATCAGTCATATCCAACTAAACGAGATAGAGAAAGCGTTCTAGCTCTAGAGCTAAAGTTGGATGCCTATCCTGCATGATTGTTCATAGTATTTTGTTGTTATTGTTTAAAGACTTATGTAATACTTATTAATACTTTTGCAATTCGTACATCCAATACAGAGATTTTTCACCCAATGGAAATGTGGGTAAAACAGGAGGCTTTAGCATCGCCTTAAATGTATCACGATTGCTAGTCACCTTGGAATTAAATACATGATGTAGTGTTATTATTTCAGTTTTCGACTGTGTTTTAAGGTTGTGTTTGGAACACAGTTTGAAAAACTGGAAAATGTATTTAATAATTTATGTTTGGTCTTATATATGTGGGATGGAAAATCCGAGATTTGAACTCGGATCTTTTGCTTGGTAGACAACTACTCTAGCACTGTGCTATTCAACATTCCGTTATTACAGACTTTATTTATTTATCATTACAGAAGCAAAAGAAGAATATATCGCAAGGTATCTTAATGGTAACATCGGAAAACATACATGGCCACCCACAGATAGCTACGTACCAAATCTTACGGATCAGACGAAGTCTGATCATGGTCCTCTATCGCCTGACCTCACATCTAAATTACCACCATTAGATATCACCCCAGAAGAAGC